GCGGGCGAGGGCCGGGCGGGCCGCAGGGGTGGCGTCTCCGCGGGCCCGGCGTCCCCTCCCACCCTTCCCGGTGGCCGGAAGTGCAGTTCCGACAAACCTTGGTCAGGTCTATGCCTGACCCCATGAGTGGGAGCCCGTCCTCATCCATCTCCTCGGCGGGCGGGAGACCCCCAGCTCCTCCACAGAAGTTCTCCGACGGAGCCCGCCCAACCCGGAAACGCAGTCCCAGTCCCCGCCCCCGGGGCCCTCCTACCGGAAGGAACCGCTTACGTTCGCCAATCATCAGGCGGCTTCCGGAGGGCCCGCCTCCTCGCTCGGCATGCTGGGGTTTGTAGTTCAGGATCCGGATTGTGACGTCAATCTCTGGGGCTTCAGAGCTGGCGCTAGGCTTGTGTCGAGGTAGTAAAGCCTTAAAGAGGGGACAGAAAGGAAAAGAAAGAAAAAGTAAAAACTGGGGCTGGGGATTTAGCTCAGTGGCACAGCGCCTGCCTGGCAAGCGCAAGGTCATGAGTTCAATTCTTGGTACCAGAAAAAAAAAAACAAAAAAAAAAAAAAAAAAGAAAAAGTAAAAACTAAGTCAGGAGATTCGTCCATATCTGAGGTTTTCCCTGCTTTGTATGCTCTTTTATATGAGTAGCTAGGGCATTCAATAGTTCTTTTTAATGTTATTATCCTACTAAGCCCCAGATACACTGCTAGGGCTTTGGGAAATATAGAAATTGGTCAGACCGAGCCAGCTCCGCTGGAGAGGTGTATTCTCTGAAGAAAGCGGTAAGGGCTATTTATGTTATTCCGTACTGGGCCACATCCCCAGCCCTTTTTATTATTTCTCTTGTCTGTCCTATTCTGACAAAATCTAAGTCACTCAGTTGCCCAGGCTGGGCACAAATTTGCAGTCTCCCTGCCTCAGCCTCTCAGAGTGCTAGGATTATAGGCATGTGTCACCACACCTAAGTCTTTCTGATGACTTTATTCTTTTTTTGGGGGTAGTTGGATTGTTTTCAGACAAGGTCTCAATGTGTAGCTTGGTCTGGCCTTGACTCAGTATATGTAGCCCAGGCTGGTTTAAACTCACATTGATCCTCCTGCCTCAGCCTCCCCAGTGCTGGGATTTTAGGTGTGCACCACCATGCCCGGCTCTCATGATCTTTAAAACATGAACTGACACATCACACTGACCCCATGAGTGGGAGCCCGTCCTCATCCATCTCCTCGGCGGGCGGGAGACCCGGAGCTCCCCCACAACACTATGGAAAGTGACAGACACTTGGGTCACTGAAAGGATACAGCAGTCACCTGGACGGAGGTGTATACCTGGGGTTTAGTTCAGATTCTGAATGGGCAGTTTGCCGGCTGGATGACCTAGGAACCCTCCTGTGGACCACGAGATGCCCAGCACTGAAAGATGCAGTCTCTAACCTCAAGACATTTGTGATGCTGGGAAAACTTGCCGAACTCTGATGTTCAGTGTCTACATAATCATGCAGACAAACCACTGTGAAAGCTCTGAGTGTGCATACGACACACACTCATGCACACACTGGCACAGGCATCCGCACGGATGTGAAGGGCTGCAGCACTGTAGCACAGTGCACCCAGGCCCCTGAGGGAGCTCCAGCGACAGACTCCAGCAGCTGCTCAGCAGTTTGGGGCGCAGCTTCGCACAGAGGGAGTGCAGGGCGGGTCAGAGGGAAAGTGGGGTGGAAGCTGAAGAGGCTGGAGAGGAGGAGGATGAGGCACGAGGCAGGAGAAGCGGACAGAGAAAGACCATTCAAGGTGCACCACTCAGCGTTTGATGCGCTGCATGCTTCCCTACATGTGCAGAGCCTATTTTAAAGTTGGACCGCACGCACCCAACATTTGAGAGTGTTTTTTTTTGGTATATGTGTGTTTTGTTTGTTTGCAGTACTAGGGAATGAACTCAAGGCATTAGCACTAAGCAATGTCCCAGCCCATTTTTTACTTTTTAAAGTGTATTTTGAAAAAAGGCGCCCTTAAGTCACTAAGATGCCCAGGGTTGAACTGGGAATCTTCCTGCCTTTGCCTCTCAGAGTGCTTCTTGAAATGTACACCTTAGAGATTGACCTCAGAAAAACCAATTCACAACCTGTGTTGAATAAGCCTAGAATTTGCATTTTAACCAACCCTGTCACCCGGGGCTACACCGACACAAAACCCGGAAAGTTACTCTTCCAAATGATAGGAGCCGTCTGAAACATTCTGAGCAGTGAGGGGCAGGGCACAGATTTAATGGAAGGCAGTGCACCGCTGGCGCACAGACGTGTAACGCAAGTTAGAAGAGCTGAGGTGGGATTTGTACCGGTAGAGGAGGGCCAGACGTTGAGTTGTAGATCCTTAAATATTTTGGTTAGCTTTCTTTTCCTTTTTCTTAGCTTTTGACAAACATCTGTTGGGCATCGAACATTTTCTAGGTGCAGGCTTACCTCGGAGGTACCGTGGACACAGATTCAGGCCGTAGTGGTGAAACAGTTATCACAGTGAAGCAAATCACAAGAATTTTTTGGTTTTATAGTACATATAAAACTATGTTTACCCTATACTATAGATTATTAAGTATATAATGGCACTATATCCTAAAAGAGTATGCGGAGCCTATTTTAAAGTACTTCATTGCTGGTGGGTGTGGTGACATGTCTGTAATCCCAGAACTCAGGAGGCTGAGGCAGGAGGATTTTGAGGGTTCTTTCTTTGTCTTTTTGAGATAGGGTCTCTCTATGTAGTTCAGGCTGGCCTTGAGCTCGCTTTGTAGCCCAGGTTGACCTTGAGCTCACCATGATCCTCCTGCCTCAGCCTCCTGACTGCTGGGATTACAGGCGTGCACCACCACACCTGGCTCAGATTTTGAGTTTGAGGACAGCCTGGGCTACATGGTGAGTTCAAGTCTCAAAAACAAAACAAACACACAAAAATCAAATACTATTGCTATAAAAATCTAATAATCATCTGAGTCTTCAGTGAGTCTTATTTATTTTGCGGGGGGAGGATGGTACTTGGTGTCGGTGGCCGCTGATTGATCAGGGTTGTGCTTGCTGAAGGGTGGGGTGGCGGTGGCAGTTTCTTAAAGAGTAAAATTTTATGTATCTTTCTACGGAAAGCTTCTCCTTAGCATGCAGTGCTGTTTGATAGCATCTTACCACTGCAGAACTTCATTCAAAGTTGGAATCAGGCCAGGCTGAGTAGCAGGCCAACTTGGGCTACATAGTAAGACCTTGTCTCAAAAAACAAAACAAAAACAAAATTGGAGTCAGTCCCCTCAAGACCTGCTGTTGCCGCTCCAGCCCAGTCACGTGAGTCACTCCACCTGTATCGGTAATGCCTGTGGAATCTTCACCCAGAGCCGCTCCCGTCTCCAGGGCCCCTGTCTTTGTTCATCCAGAAGCTCGCTTCATCCGTCATCTGTACCCTGAGAGCCCAGTTCTCACTTATTTTCACCGCATCTGCACCTGCTTCTCCAGTCAGGGTCAAGCTGGAGCCGCCATCCTCCGGACCTTGCGAACGATGGTATTTTGACCTCCTCTCACGAGTCACAAATGCTACACCCGCGTCTAGGAGGTTTTCAATTCACGCTGCCCAAAATAAAAGGTAGCTGATAGGAAGTAGGGGAAAGGGAAAGGGGTGAGAGATGGAGGGAGACGGGGCGAGGGGAGGGAGGAGGAGTGAAGCGGTGCTGTGTCCATGACTGCACCCCAGGGGTGCGAGCGCTGTTGCTGCAAACGCGCAGATGGGAATAACTGCTCCCTAGGTGAAATAGGAACTCCCGCCCCCAGCTCCGCGCAAGGCCTCCTTCCCGGCCGCAGGAGGCCACCTCGGCTGGCTCCCCTTTCTTCCTGAACCCGGGGTCGGGCTCTGCCCGGCGTGGCCTTTGGCACGGCGTCGTGGCACGTTCGATCTTCCGTCCAGATATTAAAGCCGTGCACCCGGCAGCAGCGTCGCTGCCCTTCGCCCGATCGCTGAGAAGCGCTCTGACCCCACCGGCTTTCTCTGCCTTCACAGCTGGGGGAAGACGTCTGGCTTTGGGCCTTGCTCTCGGGGCGGCGCCACTGTAGCTTCTGCCTGAGACTCGAGACGCTTGCTTTCCCATAAAGCGGAGGGCCACCGCGGGGCAGTGGCGGTTTAACCTCGGGGAGGCCTGAGGACGGGGCGGGGCGGTCAGACCACGGGCGACTGGGCTCAAGACGCCCCGCAACAATTAGAACCGCACATGGAAGATGACAGTCACGGCGTGCACGGCGGGTACAGCGGTGACAAAGAGGTGGGTCGGAAAGCGAACGCGGGTTCCGGGAGACTAGCGCACGGACTTCTCAGCACGAGGCGGTCACGGATTCCGAGGAATCAACACAGTCCTCAGAGCTCAACAGAGCAAAATAATAAAAGGGGGTATGCCTGCGCTGTGCTAGTGCCACAACTATGCACAAGATCGCCGCGTGACCGCGCTAGGGAACTGTCCTCATGTTTTGTTTTTTGCTCTTGATAAAGTCCATGAGCTGGGATTTTTCCATTAGACTATAAATTTTTTGGAGCAAGGATTCTTCTTCTCTTCCTCAATTAGAATTACTTACTCTGCTTTTCAGTGAAAACACATTAATGATTTTAATATGCAGGGTTTTTTTGTTTTTTAAAACACAATCTCACTATGGCCTTGAACTCGGAGCAGTCCTCTTGCCTCAGCCTCCCCAGTGCTTCCATGACAGATGTGCACCCGCCATAGGCTTTAATACGTAGTTTTGAGTACTCATTCTACCCCAGGCCCGGGGTTGTCACTGGAGAGCCACCTTCCTGGCTACCCACCGCCTGCTCAGCAGATGCTCCTATGCTATATAAATCACAGTGTAGCGGTGAGCACAACAAACACATTCCCTGGTGAAGCAAACTGCTAACAAGTTAACAATCAGGTACTGAATTGCTCATGGTCCAGACTGAAAGAAAAATGGAGAGATGAATAGTGAGAAAAAGACGAGCTTACTGTATTCCTTGAGGAGCATTTAACTCAAATTAATGAAACTAGAGGCAGCTTCCTGAAGGAGCTGAGGCCTGAGCTAAGTTTTGGAGACATGAGATTTAGCATATGAAAAGGCACTGGGGTCTGTGTTGTGGAACCCGACACCACCAGTCCTGGCCACCTTCTCTAGAAGCAAAGAATGTGGAGAGCCCTCCCCTTTCTCCCCGCTTCCCCACTCTGCCCCAGAAGACCGTCGTTGGTAGTTCTGGGCTCTCGGGACCCATTCTCGGCCTTCTCCTCTTTCTGCACAATCACCTTGTCCTTCCCCAGCTCCCAATCCCTCGCCCGATGCAGAGGGTTAGTCATCCCCAAAGCTGCCATTTCTCGGCCTTTCCTTCGGTCCTTCTTCCAGCTCCCCTGCAGTGGCCCTGAGGACACTTCTGTCCGCT